AGCTAACCTACTTTTTATTATCATTAGAAACATATCATTAGAAATAATCTTCATTCAATTCTATTTATAATCCATAAATTTCACACCTTAAATTGGACTTAAATTAAATTTCATTCTCAGATAAATAAATAAATATGTAAAAAAAAACAAAAAACACAAAAAAAAAATGAAAGAGATAAAGATATAATATGTGATCTATGCATTATTAATCTACACTCTAACATTTAAGCAATTTCCACATAATTTGCAAATTTGCATAAAACATAAAAAGAGAAAAAAGTGTAATAACTTATACTAAAATAAAATGAGTAATAGCTATGAAATAATTGATTAAAATTAATTTCAAAAATAGTACTGCAAAAAAAAAAGGAAAATCTATGAAAGGCAATAAAATAGTTTTCCTTTTTTTTTTTTTTTTTTTAAATTTGATTAGTCAAATAACCTAACATATATTGCAATTGAGGATTGAATCTGTTTGTAATTTATGACCAATTTGACAAAGTAATGTGACAATTTGACAGAATGAGTACATGCATAAATCGTTTTCAGGATATGGTCGCAATGACCGTACATCTTTTCCTTTTTTTTTCCGTCTATCAAAATCAGGTCAAATCATCTCATCCAACAATCACAAGAATTATGAATATTGAGAAGCTAGGATTGAGATGTATTAAAATTGTTATATATTCACGGAATCAGGAAAATTATGGTACATTCCGGATTAAAGAGTTCTAATTTTTCTACATTCCGAAAGAAAAAGGAAAAAACAATATACCAAACAAGAAATATTTGATTAGAATATTTTTTTTTCCTGTTAAGATATAGTATGGCAGATTGATCTTATTAACATAACTTGTACAAATCTTATCAATCTTTGTTGTCTCTTGGCATGCAATATTCTTTCATATTTGCCTGCTATCTCTAGTCACCACTTTTACAGTACTAACGACATAATGCAATCTCAAATAGTATGCTACTTTATAAAATGTCATGTCTCTTAACTATCCTCACTATTTCCTTGCTCTTTTTCAATCTCTAATTATCGCAAATTTGTTTCTAAATGTAAATGTCTTTTTGTCTCCTTAATTTGCAATAATTTTTATCCAAATATGACTTTAAAAATTCCAAATTTTTCTTTTTGAAAATATTTTAAAATCTAAAATTTAATTCTCGAGATTTAAATTTTCAATATTAATAAAAATGTTAAAAATAATATACTATTAATGATTACTGATCTAAATATTGTTTTGAATAAATCAAAATGTTAACGTTTGAAAACATTGATAATCTGAATACTAACTGATAATTTTAAAACTGTTAATACAAATACAACAAGAATGCTATTATCACAAATTGCTCATTTCATTCTCTCAATAATTACACGTAATTTTTGTGGAACATCTAGTAAACCTTGACCTTAACAATTCACAGCATTTGACCTTATCGATGATAATTACTAATTAGCAAACTGCAATACGACAAAATAATGAAGGCTTAAAGATTAAGCAAAAAAATTGTCGAAAACGGCTAATCTGTGACATAGGATAATCATTAAAAGAAATAATTTACTATAAATGATGGAACAGTCATTTCATAAATTTCATTATAAAGTTTAAATATGTTAATTTAAATTTCTTTAGTTAAATTTGTTGAATAGTAAACAAAGAAAGGTTTTTTTTTTTTTGTAATTTAGTAATTTTTTACAAAATGTTTAGATTTTTTGGAAGTTATTCAATTAATTAATTTTGCATTAATATTCATTCTATCTTGCTTTCAGAAATTAACCGTGAACACGTACGTGGTAAATTTAATAGTTCGATTTCTCAATTTTCTAATACATCAAAAATAAATGGAAACAATTCTTTTAGATTGGCATTATTTAATTATTTGCTTAAGCAATAGTTTAAATAGCAATCAATTATTGATTGTCCTTTAAATTTTAACATTTTGAGATCATAATACAACGTGACATTTTAATTTAATCTCAATTTTTAATGAAATGTATTTTAAAAATTTTTGATATTCTATTGATCAAATTTGTAAATTTTAATTTTTTGTGCACGATTTTTAATGCAATATTTTTATTTGTTGTTGAACTATTTACGTAAAAGTAAAGTTTTCAAGAATAATACTTTAGTCATAAAAGAGAAACAACGATGTTAGTGATGTTAGAAATGCGAAATTTTGTTAATTAAATAACAATTTTTATTAATGTTCGATGAAGCAATTAGTTTTCGTAATTTTTAGTCTTTCACTATTAGATTCTTTTCTTCTCATTTAAGAAATTTCATCAATTCAAGAATAGCAAACATTTTTGAAGAAACAGTTTAGTTTTCTTAAAATATTTTTTTTTTTTTTTTATTTATTTCATTCCATTTCCTTTTTACATTATAATTATTTTAATTATAATTTCAGTATGATTACTAATTGTAATTGCAAATTAATGCCGTAATTATAATTAAATACTACCTTTTCTAAATAAACCTATAATTTCAAACATATAATTCATTTATTTTGTTTGATTTATTAATTCAGATATTGTACCTACAATGAATGACTGATTAAATTCTAAATTTTTGCTTAAAGAAGCTGCATTTAATATATACATATCATCACATGATGAATAGTTGAAAATTAGAAAATTGTCAAATTTGTAATAAATGAAATTATTTTACTTTATATAAGAAAAAATCAACTTGTCAATATAAATGTAGCCACAATGGCGAAGCTATAATATAATGAACAAAGACTATTGTTTTAAGTGACTTTAATCCACTTTGTAACCTTAACACCCATAAAATCCCTCCCAATTTTCTTCCTTACAAAGCCATTCATTATAGTTCTTTGTTTGGTATGACTCGGTTGTGAGGTGTCTAGCTTGCTTGTATCTTTAAATGGTTTATCATTAAGTTACATTTGTGTGTGATGTATCAATTCATTATTGTAATGTTGTATAATATTTAATATTAATCTTTGGTTTAATTACCCAAGTTTGAGGTTTGAAAATAAAGTATTTTAGGAAGACTCTCACAGTACACGTACACAGAACGGAAGCAGTACAAATTCGAGATTCTACCAGTATCGAGGACAAAGAAGTCAACGATCTGAACCATCAAGAAACCTATTTTGTTTCACAAGGAAACAGGGCAGTAAGAAAAAAATTCTAAACTTGCTTTTACAATAGCAATGTATGAAATTTTTTAAAGTAAAACGTTTCAAATTTTCCACAAACAGCTTCGTTCATAACAGTATTGATGATGCGACAAACAAGTTTACCACTGATGACAACAATAATTAATGATGATAATGACACTGTTAATAAAATGATTAGAATAATAATAGCAGCAATAACAATAATAATAAAAAGAGTCCTAACAGTAACAAATATAGTAATAATAATGATAAAATGATAATAAAAGAAGAAAAGAATAAAAATTTACAAAATATATAATACACAGAGAAAAAATTCAAACATGGATAGATTGAAAATAATAATAAATTTTTTTTTCAAGTTTCAATCAGAAAAAAAAAAAATAAAAAGAAAGAGACTGATTTGAATTTATTTGAATTAAAATCGTCAAGAGATATTTGTTTCATTTTCGTTTCTTTTTATGCATTCGTTCCCTTTTTCGTTCTATTATTTTTGTTAATTATTTCTCAAACTAATGTTTATTAAATTAGAAGGCAAATGAAATAATAGTATTATCAATAATAATACAGTTAATAATAGTAAATAATAATAGTATTAGTATTAGTAAGAGGAGGAAGAGGAAGAGAAGTGGGATGGGGGAAAGGAGCGGAAGGGGAGGAAAGGAAGGATATACCTGAAACCGGTATCAGGTGGAAAAACTTCTCTCCGTTTGATTGTGGTATTGAATTTGATAGAAAAGAGAATAATGAAGAAAAACAAAGACGAAGACGAAAAAGAAAAAAGGTAAAATGTTATCGGGCAATGATTTATTTTTTTAACTTAAAAAAAAAAAAAAAAAAAAAACTAAAAAGTTATTTCTAACATTTCGTTATTATTTCGCTACTGACATCACATTTCACATATATCATTATCATTATCATCATCACCATCATCATTACTATTGCTGCCATCATCACCACCACCATCATCACCATCATCACCATCATCACCATCATCATCATCATCATCATCATCATCATCAACCATCAACACAACCAACACCAACATCATTTATAATGAATACCACCAATGCTGGCTAGTCAATCAGTCGTGTATACCTTTCATTTTCATCTTCTTTTGTTTTCTGAATAAACTTAATTTTTTAACAATTAATTTAATTGTTTAATTCGTTCGTTAATCACTGTGAAATTAATTATGCAAATTATGAGCTAATCATATACTTTTTGATTAAAAAATGATTAAAAAAGTAGGAAAGAAATTTTAAATAATAAATGTGAGCAACAATACAATATCAATGATATTATTTTGCTAAATAATAAATAGAAATGTAACAAAATTAATTATAGAATTTTTTTTTTTTGCTTTTTATAATTAGTAAATTATACAAAATTAATTAACAATGTGAAATGAAATTTTTTTTAGGGAAATTTTATAATTTGTCAACTTTTATTTAATGCAATTTTGTATTTATCATTCTTTCATTTTCATTGTTTCAGAATCGATTGAAAAAAAAGGAAAAAAAAAACCAAAATGCAAATGGTTGAATATTGTGAAAAAATTCAATTCGAACAAAATTCTTCAACTGCTTTTAGTAAAACAATTTATCATTTCCAGCAATTCAAATCCATTTTCACAACGAAACTAAAATTAAAAAATCGAATTTTCTTACGTAACAAATCAATGTTTTATTTAAAAAATGTTTGAAAATTGATCACTTCAAATTTGACATCAAAAAAAAAAAGGATGCAAAAAACAATGTTTAATATCAAATTTATCAGGATATGCCTACAATTCGGATATACTTCAGTTTCCAGCAATAAACGATCAGATTGATTTTCACAATGCTAATATGCCAGAAGCTTCAATGGAATTACCAATTCCGATTCAAACTTCAACTAATTCTGATAGATCATCAAATAATTCACCTATAAAATTCGAGGCACAATTCATCATTTCTAATTTTACATTTAATTTTTAAAAATTTGCAATAACAAATTACAAAAATTTACTGACTTCAAAAATCTTGATTATATATATATACTTAATTTAAAGATTGCTTATTATAAGTAAAAATTAAAAATTTTTATGGCAAATAATTGTGAACAATATTTGTAATTTCAATTAATTTTTGAAAAATGCTATGGAATAATTGAAATTGGTATGAGAAAAGGACATATTTAGAATAGAAATTAAAATTTAAAATGAAATTAAAAATTTATTCTGCTAATTATAATTTGTTTATTTATTTATTTATTTTTTTTTAGCTAAGTTTCGGATGTAATGATGAAGCAATCGATAAGAATAACCTTTTGTACAATGATTACTTTCAAGAAGAACCGGAAGAATCGTTTAATCCGTATGATTTATTAATGCGAATACATTTTCCGCTCAAGAAAAGTCGAGCATTATCGCAATTGGGAAAATTTAAAAATTACTGGGAAAATTATTCATTTTATGCAATATGGCGCAAAAAATTTATTGAAGATCATAGTTGTCAAGAGCAAGATTTATGGAAAGAGGTTTGTTAAATATTTGAAACTTTAAAATCCAAAAAAAAAAAAAAAAAAAAAAAGAAAAGTAGAAGGTTTTAAATTACATATTACAAATTACTGAACGAAAAATAATTTAGCAATTAATTCAAGTTTTAAATCATAAATTACCAGTTAATTGGTTGCAAATTTGGTTTTCACTTTTTTCTTAAGTAATAAATGTCAATTATTCTTTTTTTTTTACCTAAATTTTGGTTGATTTATGATCTGATCAAGTTTTAATTTAAAATTAAAGAAGACACTAATCAATCGATTTCACTTTCACGATTAAATTTATAATTTTCCTTATGATTGCATATCTATATGTTGAATTTCTACGGTGAGCATACTTATGCTCACCGCAAATTCCACGTCTTTTACGTATATTTTACATATACGTATTTGAATACTATTAATCTTAAAATTTATAAATTAAACAATCCTATTACTAACAATTAATATTTTTTAAGAATTTTTCTTACGATTCTTACGATTAACTTTTCTTACTAAAATAATTTGTATATAAGTAAAAAATTACATTATATTTTTGACCTTTCAAATTATTTCTTACATCTATGACATATTTTATTTTTCAGTTATGCTTTTCTTTTAAAAATTAGTTTTTTTTTTTTTTCATGATAGTATTTTTATTTATCTTTCTTGCTCTTCAAATTTTACTGAGCTTAATTTTATTTACTAAATATCTAACTTACATTTTCATCATCATTTTTTTTTTTTTCATTCAAAATTTGCAAACAATATTATGGTCGTCTTTTTCTTCCATAATTTTTTTTCATCAAATTTTTTTAAACATTAAAAAAAAGGAACAAAGTGACAAAAGTAATATGCATCAAAAAAAATAAAATAAATAAAACAAAAACACTTTCAAACATTTTGATTAATTAAATTTGTCAAAATGAGGAAGACATTTTTGAAATTTTTTTAACTACTTTTATAACATTATCAAATAACATTTTTTATAAAGCATTTTTATCAGAACTTATCATAATTCAGTCATTTTTGGAATGCGCTAAAAAGGAGGCAAAATTGAATTAAATTTCTGCTTAAATGTAATAATAATTAATTTTTTGATAAAATAAAATCTTAATTTGCATAGAATACTCGAAGGAAATAATTAAAAATTTTATAAATTAACAATTTTTGCATGTCTTTTCTAAAAATGGAATAAAACAAAAAAAATTACAAATTAATTCTATGTAAAAAAAAAAAAAAAGGTTCTCTATGTAAATTACCTGTATAAGTGGATAAAAAAAGATAGGGAAGGAAAAAAGAGGAGCAAAGTAAGATGATAACTCTCTGATAACAACTATTAATATTTTGATCTAATAGTAATTAATGAATAACAAATTGTATATAATTATTCAAAAAAGAAGATAGATAAGAAAATGCATTAATAAAATACAAAGGATTTTTATCAGAGATTATCATTGCATTATCTTTAGACCTTCTTAAAAAAGTCAGAATTTATTGTGTATTGATTTTATCATTTTTTTTTTTTGCTTACATACATCTATAAAAAAAAAATTTTTTTGATCTATAAAATTTTCATGATAAAAAAAAAGCAATTTAATAACAACTAGTATGAAATTAGATTATTTTAATTTTAATCAATTCATTGTTTATCACTTTCACATAATTATGATTATAATTACGCATAATTATGTTTAATTATGATCAAATCGAGTCTATTGCTTCAAGATTTACTTTCTATATCTTTTATTCTAATTATTGCTATTATTAATTAAAATTAATTAACGAATGATATCAATCAGAATTCTTTTTTTCCTTTTTTTTTTTTTTTGAGGTATACATTTATTTTCTTATCAGGTAAGCATTTGTAACAATTTATTCATTAAAATTTAAAACTATCATTGTCTTAATTACTCTTATTCAGACAAACTTTAATTTTAGTTATGCTTCCAGCATTTGCTTAATAATAAATAAATATTATAATTTTTACTAAATCTGAATTTATGCGAATGACAGTTTTCAAAACTAAATGAATAGTCGAAACAACTGTTCGCTTGATAATAAATAAATTAATTAAATAAATAATTAGTTAACCAATTAGTTACTAATAAAATAAATAATTGAAAAAAAATTTTTTTTCGACTTAATTTCAATGAATAAATTGTTAAATTAGATTTTATAAATAAATTAATATTAATAAAAAAAAGAATAATTTTAATTGATCATAATAATAACTGGGAAAAGAAATGAAAGACAAAACGAAAAGACAATTTGTTAAAAAAAAGTAAATAAACAATTTCAATTTGCAGTTTTTTTTGGAATCAATACCTCATTTATTGATCAATTTATTTCTAACATTTTATGTTGTTGGCGGCGCCATTGTATTTCAATTAATTGATGAAAATATACAGCATGAAAAATTTTACAGTGTTATTCAATTTACATTTACTACAATTGCTACTGTTGGTATGCTTTAATCCATTTCTTTTTACTTTTTATTATTAAAAAAAAAAAAGGGACTAATTTATTTTAAAAATTAAAAACTTTTTATAAAACCTAAAATCTTTGCTTTTTTTCTCATTTAAAATTTTGAAAAAATACACTTTGTATGATATAAATTTAATTACACAGGTATAATAATTTGCTACATTGTCATCTATTTAAAAAAAAATGAAACTAATACTTTACAAATTAAATAATGGGCATGTTTATTGATTTTTTTTTTTTTGACAAGACAAATTTAGTTGATTAGTTGGTTAATCACTAATTATAATTAAATAAAATATGTGACAAATCAAAATTAGTAAAATTTTATTTTAAAATTATTTAAAACTTGAAATGGTTCAAAACCTAATATTAAATAGATGTTAAAATAATGTGAAAAATGTTGAAACTTATTGCAATTACTATATTTGAATTGAAAATGATCAACTGTACTTTAATTTATCAATTAGTTCATTGCAATTATTTTTATTGTTTTTGCTTGTTCAGAATTTAATCATACCTGTATGATCTTTTGGACTTCTATTCTCAAACTAATTATTCCATTTATCTACTGGTAATTTAATTCAATTAATTCTAAAATATTAATGTAAAGCATGGAAAATTCTCCTTTTTTCGTCTTTATTTGATAAAAACAAAGCTAGACAAGAAATTTTTTTAATTTATTTACCAGTAGATAAATGGAATAATCTATTATTAGTTTGATTTTTTTTTTTTGCTTCATTTAAACATTTGTCATAATTTTAGGCTTAACACATCATTTTTTACATTGCGGTTACTATACGAAAATTACAGTAACCGTTGCAGGTTACGGTAATATCGTACCAACAACAGATGCAAGTAAATTATTTTGCATATTTTACACATTAGTTGGTGTACCTCTTCTTTTCCTCTCATTAACAAATATTGGTCAATTTATTGCGGAAGGTTATTGGATTTTCCTGGCATCATTACAACGAACACAAGTAATCATTCTTATAATTATTACTCAATTATACATTTTTTTTTTTTTAGTATCTATCAAAAGAAGAAAAAATGATTGGTTAAAAATTATTTTAACAAAAAAAAAAAATCATAACTTTAGTCTCTATTGCAAAAATATTTTTGCAAAAAAATTTGTAAAGTTTACAATTTACATTTTTTTTTTTTGTCCAAAAAATTTTGATTAAAAGCAAGAAATTTTACCATATAAAAAAAAAAGATTATATTATCCATTAATTTTTCAAAAAAAAAAAAAATGATACATGATTGTTTATAAGTTTGAAAATAATCAAATATGATTAATAAAAAAAGTTTTTTTTTTTTCGACAAAATCATGAAAGAGTAGAATATAATAGAGAGAAATATGTATAAATAATTTGATTAGTTTAAATTTAAAACATTTTTATTACTTTATTTTTAGTGCATTGATGCACCAGATGAGCGCCGTTTACCATTATCAATTGTTGTAACATTATTGCTAACACATTCAGTAATTGGTGGATTATTATTTCATTTTTGGATTGATCAAATGCCTGTTATTCCGGCAATTTACTTTAGGTTAATTATACATTTGCATTTTTACATGAATAACTTGAGTGAATATATCATTTCAATTAATTTTTTAATTTAAAAAAAAAAAAAAACGGATGAAATTACAAAATTAATCTATTACACTCTTTTAATTTAATATTTTCTTTTATTTCAAATTAAAAATTTTGGTACTAATTAATTTTTTGCTTATTTTTTTAATCTTCTTAATTCTAATTTATTTTAAATTTATTACTTTTTTTTTCAGTTTTGTTTCAATTACAACAATTGGCTATGGTGATATAACACCAACACCAAATAATGCTATACAAACATTAATTATTGTTCTTTATCTTGCAGTTGGAATGGTAAGTGATATATTGAAATTGATAATATAAAATTGAGAGCATAGAAAAGATGTTAATATGATATAGAAGAATTTTTCTTAAAAAAAAAAGTAGATTCGATGAGATACAATCTGAATTTAATAAAATTCAGATTGTAATGTTATTTTTCCAATTTTTATCAAATTTCAGTATATAATATAATTATTCGAAAATGATCAATGAAAATGTAAATAAATACTTTAAATGTGTTCATAATTAAAAAAAAAAGTAGAATTGAGGTATTTTTTTTTTTAGGATGATTTTAAAAATAAGGTAATGAAATATTATATACTATAAGCAGTCCTAATCATAAATTATTTTTTTCAGGTGATAATGTCAACATTTGTTGCTTCACTTTATAATTACCTTCGAAGATTACACTATTTAGGACGTGATTTTAGTGGCGCAGCTCACGTTGAAGTATGGTTTGGTGGTACTAAAATGTCAGTATCCGAATTACTTTATATTGTTGCAGATGAATTTAATGTTAGTAAAATTGTTTATTATTATTGATGAAAAAAGAAAAAAAAAAAACGAAAAATGATTTAAAATGTTTTAAATTAATTTTCTCTTCTCTCTTCTTTTTTTTCTTTCTCTATTGGTAATGTTTAATAATAATTTTGATAAATGATTTATCGATGATATTAATGCTTAACCGTAAAAATCTAATTGATAACTAATTTTGTTATTGACCAAGTAAATTAGTAGCATTTAGTACTGGAACAATTCTTTTTTTTTTCCTTTTAATTATTGCAAACTTACATGTAATCTATTTTCATCTTTCATCCTTACCCTTACGCATATATGAAAATATTTATGTAAATTGAAATACTATGTTTTTGTTTTTAATCCTTCAATGCTGAAAAAAATTTACGTATGCTAAGCTTGATTATAAAATTGTTTTTACTTATCTTTTTTTTTTTTGTTTAAATTTTTTCAGGTATCACCAAAAATGCTTTACGAAGTATTACATGATTTGGATGATATAATTACGGAAGCAACAGATCCAAAAATAAAATTAAACATTGAAAAAATTCAAAATCGACGTCAGACTAGAATTTCACGTTCAGAAAATCGTGAACTTCGAGAATATCTGAATAATGGAATTCGAATGGTTGAAATCAAAGATTCATTAAATCCATTAAATACACATGCAAGTTTTATATTTAATTAAACTTGCCAATAAAATATTTAAGTATACGAAAGATTGTTAAATTACTTTTTTATTTTCTTTCTATCGTTACATTTGAATTAACTCAATTTTTAGGTAATGATAAAAAGTGACTCAACTAAATGCTTAAATAGAATTCCAGAAGATCAACGTGAAAACGTATGTTATTTTTATTTATTTATTTATTTTTTCACCAGCAAACATTGTTTGAAAATTTTTGATAATAACAGTTTTCATGAGTATATCATACATAGATTCATCGAAGAGTTTGATAATGTCAACTATCAAATTGTCCAACTTAATTAATTCAAATTTTAATTACTGAAATATTAATGTAAAGATAATTAAATTAAAAAAAGAAAGCACTTCATTGAATAAAATTAAAATTCCAAAGATAATTAATTGGAGATTAAAAGACAGATTATGCAGGTTATGCAAGCTCTTGGCATGTTTCATCATGTAGTAAAGACGAAATCAAATTTGTCAAATAAGCGGCGCTCTTCATCTGTTTCAACAAAATTACATTTTGCTAATGCTCATAACTTGTTGAGTCAGGGTAATTTTAATATTAATTCATAAAAATTAATATAAATAATAACTTTTTTTTTTTCTTATAAATGTTAATTTAATTTTAACTCACAAATGAAAATATTGGTTAGTTTTTGAAATGAAATAATACTAAATTCATAACTGATAATTTAAAATAATTCAAGGCAAAATTTGATTAGAGAAAGTCTAAAATATTTTAAAGTATATATATATAATTATTTTGTCGATAATATTTCTTTCCTTTTTTTTTTTTTATTTATTTTTTATCCATTTCTTTATGTTTTGTTTTAATCTCAAAATTTATTCTGTGCTATTTGTGTATTTCCTGATAATTGTAATTTGATTTAAAAAATTTTTATCGTCGAATAATATTTTTTTTTCTTTATATTATAATATGTATATTATTGGTTAAGTTTCAACCATATAGTATCATTTCAATTGAATATTTCATTAATATTTAATTCAACATTTTGCAATCAGTCACAAACAAATAGAAATAAAGAAGTAATTAATAATTAGCTAAATATTAAATAAGAAATTAGTAGTTAAATGAAATTATTTTCATCCAAAAATTGAGCTTAACTATTTTGTTAATTTAACTTCGCATTCATATCGTACTAATTAGCATTTATTTTTGTTTTTTGTTTTTGTTTTTGCTTTTTGCTTTTTTTTTTTTTGGTAAAAAATGATAATTTTAAATCCAGCTACTAATTTGAATAATTTGAAAATTTTAACATTTATCTTTTATAATTTGTTAATATAACTTTGTTAAAACTGGTCAAAACAATATGATCTCTCTTTCTCACCCTCTCTCTATCTCTCTCTCTCTCCTCCTACATTAGTTTGTTTATAAAATACAAAAATATTAAAATATGTCAACACACTCTTTTTTTTTTCAATAAAAAATTTGAAATACAGATTGCAACAATACAGCACAAAAATACAAAATTGCGGAAAAAGACTAGATAATATGGATAATCATTATCACTTAATTATTATTACTGAAAAATAATATAAACAAAATGTAATGTAATTAAATGAAAAATATAATTCTTTGCATAGATCAAAGTTACAAAACCAATTTATGAATAATTTAATTGCATATAAAACAAAAAATGATTTGAATTGGATTCAAAATAAATTGATTAAATTTCAAATGCAAATATAAATGACAAAACATGAGTGATAACATTAAATGAATCGTCAACTTCCTTATATCAAGGAAAAGATTTTAAATGACGTAACAAAAAGTCACTTTACGTTTCCGCATTTGAAACTCACGTAACAACAAAAATAACTTAAATGTATTACGTCAATTTAATTAAGACTTATGCGAATTCCATTCGCATGGTCCCGTGGTGTAGTGGTTAGCACTCAGGACTCTGAATCCTGCGACGGGAGTTCAAATCTCCCCGGGACCTGTTCGGTACCCACCCTTTTCAAGAATTATTATCAAGTAAAAAATGAACTGAAATATTCGCTGATTTTGATTAATAGGAAAATTTCCTGTTTTACAAAAATACTGGTTTCAACTGTTCACCAGTGGTATTTTCAGTTGATATCCCATTAGAACATGTGAATGCAGCTGCAGTACCCTTTCCAAGTTTACAAAATATTACATTCGTTATGAATAGAAAACCAGCATGCAAGATGAATACATGGTACCATTCGTCTGAGAGACCATTTGGTGTTAATGAGGTTACAATAAATGGTACCGTTAACATTGCTATGCACATTATCACCTAGAATTTTTAATGTTACATCAATATTCGTTAAATTATTTATATTATTTTGAAAGAATTTATTAGGATAATATTTATTGTTATTTGTTGAAAAACAATAATTGAATTTGAATTTCAGTATCGATTTCTAGATTGTCACTTATTTCTTTGAGATTTTGACTTTTCTCCACATTTCCAAATTATGGAATATTAGAAATGATTGTTTTTATTTTTAAATGTTATCAGTCGATCAATCCTTACGGAGAGAATTGAATTTTCGAAATAAAATAATTGAAAATTTCCTGCAAAAGCACAGTGATTCATGTGATTCATTCAAAAGAGCATTTGAACGTGCAAATAATGTCAAGCAAAATGTCTTGAAAATTTAAAATCAAAATTTAAAAATTATTTTCTTTTTTCTTCCTAATAATATCTATCTTTTCTCTTACCACATTCCTCCTTCTTCATCAAAAAAAGAAAAAAAAAAGAAAAAGAAGAAACACATAAATTTTAAACAATTAATCTACAGTTGATTTACGAAGATAAAACAATTACCTTACACTGTAAAATAGTATGTTAAAAATACTATAAATGCTAGTATAAATAATCTCTATTTATGAACTACCATATTCAGAAGCTATTATACTATAGCTTAGAATCTATGAATCTTGGAACACGGAATTCTTGATCAATACCTACGTGTACTGAAAAGATTACCCTACCTGTACGATGGCATTGACAAAGTAGCTGTACTGTCGACCTACCAATGTGCAACTTTTGAAAAAACCACCGGTATTGAAGCCAAGAATTGTCGTTGAACTAATTAGGAAAAAAAGTGCTACAAATGTTCGATTTGCCGGTGTATATGCTAAGGCAATAAGAAAAATACCCATACCAAGGAATGCTACAGTATTAAATAATCGAACCTAAAAATAAAATCTAAATGTATTGGTAGCGTAAACCAATTTGGTAATTCATGACGTTTTCCTGAAACAAATAGTTAAAAATTTTTTAAATTTAAACATTAACACTGTAAAATATTATTTATGGAATAAAAATTCATTCAATAAATTCTTACCAAATTTCAATTACAATTTCATCTAACAAAAAACTGTAACTGAAAAATTTCCAGTCCTACTATGCAAGTGATAATATTGATAATTAAAATAATTGAAGAAATTAAAATTAACCTTCGTAGTTTCTGTAAGTGATGTAATTTTATCACTTGCAGTACCGGCTAACATTTTAACTGCAAACTGCAATAATGTTGGTAACGCTGCGGTTAAACCAACACTTACAATGGGTAATCCAAGAACCTGAAAGTTATGGATTTGAATTTTAATTAAGAAAGGATAATTTTGTCTTTTTTTTTAAAAAAGCCACATTAGCATTTCTTTTTCATTAGCATAATCAATGTTAGAAAATTTTGAAATGCACACTAACTTGACTTATATAAGTTGGAGCAAAAACAACGACCATTTGAATGCTATACATATTACCAATAGCTGCAATCCAAATAGCCCAAACTGATGTTGTTTGGAAAATTTCACGAATTGGTAACTTAAAGTATAATTCATAATCAAATTTGTATCTATATTCATCAGAATATTTTAAACTAATCATGATATTAATTGATTTCTTCACTTGTTTGACAATTATTATTTATATTTTGCATTTATTCATATTTTATATGTTTTATACGCTTAAGTTTAAAATATAAATTTTTAGGTTTTACATTACAAACTACTAATAGCCAGTATCAACTAGCAAACCTTATCTTCACTTCGTTTTACTTTATTATCATTTTTTCCATCAGTTATCAATTTTAACTCAGAAGCGGAAATCCAACGAGCATCACTTGGTTGATCCCTTTTAATTACAACTTATTTTTTATATTTCTATTAGTATACACAAATACAAAAGTTGACATTTTCATCAAAAAAAAAAAAAAAAAGGAAAGAAAGGAACAAAAGCTTTGCAAAATATGCAAAATTACTAAAATATTATTCCAAATTTTAAATTCAATCAAAAAATACAAAAATGTTTGAAATACTAATCAAAAATGAATGATAAAAATGAATCCTTCAAATTTTTAGAATCAAAATCTTTAGAAATGAATCTTTCACTGTCTTCTTCATCTAAATACCTGTATAAAATCCACCATATTACAAGAAATATTAACGTTATTGTTGCATGGACATAAAAAACTGATGGCCATCCTAGGCTTGTTGAGCATAAAAAGCCAGACATTGGCATTGTTATCACAGGGCCAAGCTGTAAACATTGTTATTAGAAAAGGCCAAGCTGTAAACATTGTCATTAGAAAAGCTGTAAGAAATGAGTAAAATTGAAATTTTTACACCTTAAAATGTATGATGAGAATGTATAGGAGAGCGAATAAATTTTGTTCGTTCGCCGGGCGTTGTGGCGAGCGCTTGTAATCCAAGTGACTGGGAGGCATGTGGTGGCGGATGGAGTGAGAGGAGGAGTCCTGGCTGGTGCTTGGCGGTGGCGACCGAGCGTCCAGGCCAAGCGTGGCGTCGACAAGGTGTCGAGATAGGAGTGTCATCGGTACCTGGTCGCATAATGAGGGGCGTACGGCTCAGGGCCGAAAGGCAGCAGGCAAAAGTCCCCGCGTCATGACAGTGGCCGGATAGCGCTTGCGAGTCGTCGGTATTAGTCAGCCTTGTCAATACCTCCAGACCCATCGCTTTTGTCATCTAATTTCACACACAGTTTGTTGGTTGATTGACCTTTTGTACAGTAATAATAAGTAAGGCCTTCTTTATGGTGAGATTGGTCATTTTGTTGGTTGACCTTTTATATAATAATAAGATCTTCATGGTGAGACCATTTTGTTGGTTGACCTTCTGTACAATAATAAGACCCTTATGGCGAGAATGACCATTTCATTGGTAGATAAATGTACGCGGTAAAGTTTAAAAATGAATTATGTGAAGTCTGTTGCGATTGATTGATATTATTGATTGAGTGAATGAATCGCTTATTGATTGATTAGTTATTTCTATATTATCAAATCTAATAAATGAATGAGAAAGGTTACTATTATTTGTCTTAACTCAAATCTTTAGCATAGCAAATAAAAATAATTGTGATTTTTTTTTTTAAATATGTAGTAAAGAATTTTATCAAAAATTATTTAATTATCATTATTTTCTCTCTAACACTTATATAATCTGTAATTTATTATTTATATATTATTGTACATATAATAACGATACATATATACTACTGTTTACCTTTATTATCCTTTCAACCATTATTATTCTTCACTTTATCAATCCAAAA